TCAGCCCAGCCGGCCGCTCGTCACGCTTACTATTTTGATCTGATTGGTCTAGTTTTGTGTTATTATTCTTCTGATTTTTAGCTTCCCCCAGCCCCAGAAAATAAGCTTAACGCTGTTCCGCAAGTTGACTCCTGATTAAGCCTGTTGGCTTTCTCCCACTTCCCTTCCCCTGCAGACCAGCTGTAACCACTAATAGACACATTGCAAGTGCTGGGAGTTCCTCTTTGGTTTAGCTGGAGTGTTGGTTGAGCAGTGAAGAGAAAGAATTCTCGACAGAAGTGAAGGGAGCAGTTCTGAGCTGGCAGGTCCCTTCTTGCTTTCAGTCAGTACGTCCAAACCAGCTTTTTTGTGCTGCCTCTCACCTGGTCTAAGGGGTAGGTAGCAAAGACGGGTGAGGTTCGGTTTGTGGGACAAAAGAAACCTGTAGGAAACCAAGAGTTTTTTAACTTAAAAAATCATAGAGCAACTTCCTTTCAAAATGCTAAGTTTTCCTGGAAGTGAATTTTGACCTTGTTTTTATGTACAGTGTTTTCCAAGGGGGCTGTGTTGCTAGTCCTGTCACTGTGATTGAATATTAACATCTGTTTCTGAAGCAGAGGCATCTCTGGAGTCCAGACACTGCGTCTAACTTCATCTGACAGTGTTGTGTAACTGTAAACAGTGCAACCACCGTTTGTAATGCCAGATAGTTTTGGGTAGATACCATAAATCAGATGTGGTGTAGTTGCTAAACTTGTTGCCCCTGTTAAAACAAAAAACTTCTTTTAGAAATAATGGGAAATTATTCTTTCTCCCTCTGAAGCTACGGCATTAGCTGGTGGGAGTCCCTTGCACATAAGCATCTATCCTTTGAAAACTTGCATGTTAAATAAGTTTAAGAATCATTTGAAGTGTAAGTATACATGCATTGTAGTTCTGTATGAAAAAAAATATACTTGTTTGTGTTTCAAACAGTCTAGTTATTACGCTCTAATATTTTTTGTCTTATTTGATGAAGGCAGCAGTAAGATGTGCCAGCTGGCTTGCCTCCTAAGGGGAGATAAGAATTCCCTAAACTTATCCTGTACAAGAACTGAACACATTAACCTTGATAGGGTAATTCAGACTAGTAGTTTCTTCAATACCAATTTATGTGTTAAATATAAAGTAGTTGTCTTGGAACCTTATCAGAGAGACACTATAATGTCTAGTTCATATGAGATTAGTTGAGTCTTCTCTGCTTTGCAGCTGATTAAAGAGTAATTCATACTGGAAAAGTGTACCATGTAAACAAGAAGTCTCTTTTAACTGATCCTCTGTAAATACACGTGTTTCATGAATAACATGGTTCAGTGTCCCCTGTATAGTATTTTACTTGTGAGTAATTTGACACAAGCAGTTGGTTGAATGCTTCATTTCTGGAATCTGTAACTTTCCAGTGAACTGAGGAGCTCCTTGGGAGTGCTTAATGAAAGCGTCATTATTTTTTTAATATAAATAATTAAAAAGTAGTTTGGCATGCCTAAATGCCAGGCAAGTGTGGTTCTGCTACTTAAATTATAACATGTTCTGAAAGTCTAAAATGTGTTCTTCATTTTTAAGGTGCCTTCTGATTTTAATCTGGAAGTGACGTGCTGTAAACTTGAATATTTTGATCTTTGCTATTTTTTTAGGAATAAAAAACTACGAGCTGTTCATAAACTCCCTCTGCATGTTTTAGCTTCCTTTGGATAGAGAAGAGAGACGGTGGGTCCTGCTTGTGGTTTCAGTGTTCACTTAGGTTTTTTTAGTGTAGTTCGGCAAAGCCATCCCAGCATCAGAAAGAATATTAATTTACCTAAGGACAACACCCTGTCATATAGATCTGTTGCTGACATTATTATAATGAAGTAATCATTGTAATAATTTGCTGCCAACAAAAGGCTTTCCTACAGGAGCGTGTGCAGTCAGATTGTTCTTCAGTTTTGTTCTTTAAGCTGCGATTCAGTAGCTTCATTCAAGTTAACATAAGGTTGGAAATCTCTTTCGTTGTCTGTAAATTCAATGAAGATACATGCCTAGGTAGAGATGCTGTGACCTTGTGTCCTGAAGGAGACATCACAGCGTGTTCTTATTTTTTTGCTGGTGAAATATGTGATGATGAAAGATTAAAAAACTTGTGACTGCAGGAAAAGCTTTACTGAGAACTTCCTCCTCCTCTAGACCTCCTCATATTCTGTGGCAGAAGGTTTGATGATGGAGAAGGTACTGCTCACATCTGATTCAACAAGCTATCATGAATCCACAGAGGGAGGGAGGACTTGTCTCTCAAGTTCTAGGCCTTGAAAACGTGCATGCTGGCATTTCCAGGGACACTTTGTCATACTACTCTAGAAAGCACGTGCTTCCAAGCTTCAGTTCCTGTCCCACTCAAGATTTCTCTTTTGAAGTTGCCAGATTTCAGGAGTGTTTTATTTTTGCGTATGGTTTCTGAAAAGTTTGCAGTGTGAAATGTGCTGTTCATCAGATGATTTCTCGTCTATGAAGTAAACACCTTGCAATAATTTTCATTTCCAGCTAAGTCTCACGTGAGAAGTTGGTACCTTGTGCTTAATGTTGACCATCTCTCATCCTTTTCTCAGATTCTGTAAACTCGGACATGCCTCAGAGAAATACTTCTTCTAAAAGTGAGAATGAAACACTAACTAGATCCCAAAATGTGACAGACAGCTTGCACAGTATAACTCCGACAAAAAAAGAGGATCTTCCGACAACAGCTAAAGTCAGTTCGGTGACTGCAGCAAAGCCGTCTACAGCAAAAGGCGATTCTCTTTCTCGTGCGGTGACTGCCAGTCCGGTGTCTCAAGTGGATGTTTCTGAAGAAACTAAAATTGAGGAAGAGGATCTTCTAACAGGTTTGAAAGACACACTGAATAGTTCACCACCCATCATAAAAGAAACTATCGAGTCAGATGGAGGAGATGACTATGGTCCTTACGAAATGACATCGAATTCCAGATACAACGCAGACCTCCTAGATATGCCGGAAGATGACGACTCTGATGCCATTAGTAATTACAACGAGGAGATCAAGACCCTTGATGAGAAGATAAAAGATGTTTCTGTTGCGGGGTTGGAAGAAGAAGAAGACAGCCATTTCTTTTTTCACCTGGTTGTAGTTGCTTTCTTAGTAGCTGTTGTTTATGTCACCTATCACAATAAGCGGAAGGTAGGTGTGCTGTGAAAGGTGGGGAGAAACACTTCTAGTTGTGTTGCCTTGTAAACTTTTTTAGTGAGAGGAATATAGCTTTTGGGAGAAGGAAATCTGTGACTGCTTAGTTGTATTGTGATACTAATATTCCTGATCATTCCTGTCACTTTTATCTGCACAATGAAAATGAACTTGAATCAAACAGATTAGAAAGTTGGTTAATTGAGTTCAGTAGTGGACACTGGCAGTGCACAACAGGAGTTCTATAAAAGAGACCTGAGCCAGGTCAGGTGAAGGTTACTGAACCAATTTTCTTTCTGCACAGGATTATCAACAGCAAATTAAGGAAAGGTTAGTCCCAAATGGCATGGGAATGTTCTTGGTAACAGCTGTGATAATTCTTGTAATAAGTGTTCACTTTAAGGTGGTCTTTTACGGGCTTAACTACAAATTTCTGGGAAATGATTAACATTTTTTCCGGTTTTACACAGAGAAACTCAAGATTAGTATTTTCGGGTAACTGTTTTTCAGTACAAACTAATTCTCTGTATCTCAAAAGTAGTTTAGTTAATGTTTCTTGCAGAGAACATTGATTTGATTGATGACTAGAAGATGTTGGTAAGAAACAAGCTGAAAAAGTGTGAATAAAGTAGACGTTTAAAAAGCTAACTGACTGCTTTCTCTTTCAGATCTTCTTGTTGGTCCAGAGCCGAAGATGGAGGGACGGCCTGTGCTCGAGGACAGTAGAATATCATCGTTTAGATCAAAATGTTAACGAAGCAATGCCTTCGCTGAAAATAACTAATGACTACGTATTTTGAAAGCACTGTGATTTGAGTTTGCTGAACTTCTCACTTTTTGCCTGCCTAGTCATGTAACGATATTCAGGTATTCTAAACATGCTGCTTGTCCTGAAGTGAGGGGTACTCTCTTTGACCTGGATCTTTTTGAGGTTCAATCTCATGGAAGATCAAGGGCATGATACTGTTTGCTACTTTTTTCAGGTTTTCTATCGACTATAAAGTTACAGAGTTTAATAATTAGCGCCATTTCCATTCATTAAGCATCATCCCTTCTGTCTGGAGCAGTCGTAATAGCAGTAATACAAAAAAGTAAGCATAAAATATTTTAGAGCTAATAAATTAATGACTTTGGCATCACTAAATCAAATTAACAATCTCTTTACTAATCACTTACATGGCTCATAAATCCCACTATGCTGCAAACTTCGAATATAATTACTTTTTCTATGCTTAAATCCTGATGCTGCAAATTTTTCATCTTGTTTTTATTGTTTTTGTTCTATTTTCTTGTCGCATAATTTGATCCTATTTTAGGCAGAATAGCTAGCATGGCAATTCCATAATTTCTGTATGCGTTCATGCAGTGAATAATTTAAAAATAATTACATATAACCCATTTTGTTTCAGAAGTTACATACCATATACTTCGAAACGTTCAAGATCTTTGTGAAGGTATGCAGCTTCTTGACTGTCCAGGTTATTTCTCTAATGGTATTTATGACTATATCATTACCTTTGTAATTAATGAATGGAAAATAAGCCTTGCTGAGTAATCTTACTAAAATACAGGTAGTTCACAGGCTTTCAATACATCAAAGCTTTCTGTTAAATTTTTAAGACAGTTGGGAAATGGTTCTGTGGTTTGCTATGTTGTAAATGAGAGAGGCCTGAAAATGTGAGAATAATTTATTTTGTTATTCTGACCCAGGTAACAGGCAGATGAAAGTAACGGTGTGTGGAGCTGCCAGTCTGTGGACAGCGCACTCTAATGTTTTGACAAACATTTACGCATTAATGTAAATCAAATTACTGGTACAGTAGTGATTTTTTTGTGGTTTTTTTTTTACCTTTTGTACTTCCATTATTTATGTTTTCATGAGTTGTAAAATATAAAATCTTAGTTTTCTGTACATTCTGTTTGTGATTTAGTTTTCAAACTGCTAAATATGTAAATAATGGTGGATCAGAACCCCATGGTTAATGACTTGGTATTCAAGTAGTTATGTAACATTTTGAAAAAAATCAACTTTACAGCTGTTGGCACAAGGAGTCTGAAGGCATTATAGTATCTTACGAATGAAACACTAAAAGTTCTAAATCTTGCTGTTAATTGCGTTCTCTTCATAACCACAAGTAGTAAAGCACAAAACAAAATACCCCCAAAGTCTTTTCTTGCAGTAATTTTTACCATATTTGGACTTGTATCACTTAATATTTTGAATAAGGTTTTTAAAATAAATGACAATAATGACCTCGTGGGTTTTTTATCTTAATTATTTCACTACTTTTGTACAGTACCTTACCATAAAGACTGGGATTGGAAAACCAGTTAAAACCATCTTTCTGATTAAATTAATTTCATTCATTTCATTTTTCCAGATTGAATTCAGGTTGTGTGTGGAGTTTTGACTTATGCACCTGTTAAATGGTGTGTAGGGTAGATAGCAAAGCTCAAATGAGATCTTTTAAGCTGTAGAAATTAGTAAATTCTTTAACAAGTAATTTTTTTACCTAAGTAGTACAATTATTAGTTCTCTTGGAAGATACTTGAGCTCTTACCTGAATGCACCCACGTTAAAGCTGTTATCAAGATCCAAATGGAAAGGTTACTTTGCAAAGCTCTTTTAGGATGTTTAAATGTTGGAATTGGAAAGGAGATGTCCTGTTTTCACCTGAGAGGTTCAGTAGCTTTCTCCCTAAATAACATTCATGAAATGTAGGGATTTTGACAGCAGGGAGTAGTCTGATCACACTTCGCAGAACACTTGTGTTTCCTTTCAGATTGGTACCACAGGCCTCGCGCAGGACCCGGTATGAGGCACTGAGTGCCCAGCAGCACAGTAGTACAGCGATGCTCACGTTCAAAGATTCGTTTCAGATGCTGTTTGCTCTTAAACACATTGAGGGAATTAGGCCATCAAGGCAGATACTATGTTTTCAAGCTAGAATAATGCTTTAAAAATGTAAAAAAATTTAACATGGACCTAAATTAGTAGAAATAAGGCAAATTTTGTTGATTTCTGGCATTTGCAAATGTGTTACCTTATTCTGTCTTGGATGTCTTCCAGAGCTCTTGAGGCATAGTTCAGCTGGCTGAGTCAAACCAATCTAAATGTTTTTCTTCCAAACCCTCTGAACGAATAATAATGTCCTCTTTAAGACTGTATGTTAATACACTGGTGGAAAAATCATGCGTTTTTTTGCCTTCCTTCCCTCAAATTGTTTGTCCTTGTGAAAAGACTGTCTGTAGGGAGAGAAATTTATTTGCTTTATCAGCTTTTGAGCTGTTCCTTCCAACAAACCCACTCTTTTAAAACCCCGTGACTTTTTTCTGCAGGAGGAATGTGCGCAGCGAGTAGTGAGAGTGCTTTTTGTGAGCTTTTTAGGGAAAACTGCCAGAGGCCTAACGTCCACCCAATTACTGAACCTGGTTGTTTTGCAGTTTGTTTTGCAGTCATCACATTTTAAAATGCTCTCCCTTGTCCCACAGATTTAGTATTCATTAGGTGCACCTACCAGTATTTAGGCCTAATGGGCTGCAGCTCGCTTTGGCTCTACTGCAAATGTTAATAAATTCTTTCCTGAAATGGCCATTTAGCTGTGAATTCTGAAGATGCTCTTGCATGAGGTTACCTTAGAGGAGAAAATCGTACCTTGAGCCTTTTGCTCTTGGTAGTCTTTACCAGTATTGAAATCATCCGAGTTAGGTAACTGAGGTCATGAAATCACAGCTCTGCCTCACTCCAAATTCTTCACTCCAAGCGCTTCCCATGAGCAGCTATCCTTTGCTTGCTCTAGCTGTCGTGCACACCCTCTTTATCTCACAAATAAGAAAAATTTCTTTGAAATATACATTTTTTTTTGGTAATAAAGTTCTTTACTAATGGCACTAAGGCCAGCTTATTAGAATGTTTTTAAATTCATGGGGAATTTACTTGAACTTGAAATCCTTGAAGTTCCTTAAAAAGCAGGTTTCATTTTGAGAATTTTCTAACCAGATTCTCTTCTAGGATGCTAATATATTTTAAGTGCTGGGGCAAATCTTGCTCCATCACAATTGTAGCCACCTGCCCCGAGAGCTGCGTTTGGTCATACCAAAGCAAGTTTATATGGATGCATCTAAGGAAACCAATTTAGATAATGATGTTTGTGAAATATCACTATTCTTAAAACCTGTCTGCCGCTGATCTGCTCCAGCATTCAGCTGACAACATCGGTGCAACACAGAGGTACCGATTAACACAGGTGGTTTGCGTTCTGCAAAGGCAAATGCTGAGTAATCAGCCTGTTACCCACAGGCACCTTCCCGTCCAGTCCCTGCACCTCTGGATGTACTTGCTCGACTCACCTGCGGTAAAATAATACCACAAAGGCAGGAAATGGGGAACTATCTCCACCCTGGCTAAGGACTCTGCTGAGTTGCTTCTCCAGCCCGCTTGTGTGTCACTGTCATCTTGGTATTGTAAAAAAGGGGACTGCGCCCTTGTTCAGACAAAAGAATTGAAATGCACACATGAATAAGGCACATTTTTTTTTAAAGAATATTTTTTTCATTCGCAGCAGCCTTTGGATCGTTGCCTGAGCAGGGCACTTGCCCTGCTGAATTGACTTGGGTGGTTGAGACGCTATTTCTTAATAACGCCAATAAAAAGAGAGAGGTTTCTCGTGATCTGCTTTTCTAAGGGCTCCAGCAGCACCCAGAGAGTGGAGCGTGTCATCCATTGTGCAGAAAAAACCATTTGCTGATGAGGTAATCGGGATTGAGCTACTGTTTTTAAATGTCTTTAATTGAATTTGCTTGTGGAAAATTAAAAGCAGGCAATCAAAAATTCATAAAGTGCTGAGATCAAATAGAGGAAAAAGCAAGCAGATTTATGTCAGATCTTACCAACAAGAAATGCCTTGATGAATTTCTTTATTGAAGAAAGGAAACTTTCTCACATTAAGGTGAATTATGACTTCCATCAATATTCTGATAAAAGGATAAAATATTCCTGAAGAGCTTTCTGATTAAACTTATCAAGATGAAAGTTGAAGCTTTATTTATGTAAGTTCTTGTCAGGGTTGAGTTTTATGAAATGCGGAAAGAAATAATAGGGTAGTTTAAACAAATGATACATTTCACTTTTACTATCTGGGAGAATCAGGTATTTTAAAATATTTATAGTTTAATTTTCATTTAGCACCAGGGCATATTATTCAGTGAAGTCAACTGTCCTTGGCTGTTGTATACAGGGTGAATAAAGAAAGGTTTATCTGAGCAGGGCTGGGGTTTGAGTTACGGGAAATTAATTTGCAACGTGGAGGTGAGGAACATGATTTCCCTCAAATCAATCTAAATACCGCAAAAACAGTAAAAAGAGAAAAGGGATATTTTACATAGTTTCCAAAGGGGGAGCAGCACAGCTGCAGGCCAAGGTGGACAAAATGTTGGTGGGGGATTTTCCAAGTCGCGGTCAGTTTAGGAAACCCATGCCGAGCCGCGGTGAGTGAGATTTTATTGGCTTTTTTTTGGCGAAAACCTGCCATGATGAGCAAAGGGAAGTCTGGCTGTCACCTGGTGCTCACTTGGGCCTCAATTTTCTGCCTAAATCTCCAGGCAGTGCTGCTGCTGCCCGGGCTCGGGGAGGAGGAGGGTGGTGTGAGCTGGCAGCTGCTCGCGCTCTGGGAGGGAAGGAGCAGAGCTCTCCTGCCTCGGCTGCAGTGGGGCAGGTGAAGGTTGCAGGTCCTGCTGTTGCCTGCAGTGGTGCAGGGTCACTGAGGCTCTTCCCCTCACCGTGCCTTGCTCGGGAAGGTAAGCAGGTTCCTAACCTGGTAAAACAATTCCTCTTTCTTTTTTAGTCGTTTTCGTGGCTTGTTTTTCAGTTCTTTTGGGGCACTGAGCTGTAGAGCCCGACCAGTGCCAGGGCTGGCTGGAGGCAAGTGACGGGAGGATTTAGGACAGAGGTGAGAACATTCCCCATTCGGTAGCACCCAACTTTATTTGGTTTCTCATAAAGCTGTTAATGTATCTCTCAAGCCCAAGCAGGGGAA